GATGGAGACCATTCTGGCCAACATGGTGAAATCCCATCTCTACTAAAAATACAAAAATTAGCTGGGTGTGGTGGCGGGCGCCTGTCGTTCCAGCTACTCGGGAGGCTGAGGCAGGAGAATCGCTTGCATCTGGCAGGCGGAGGTTGCAGTGAGCCGAGATGGCGCCATTGCACTCCAGCCTGACGACCGAGTGAAACTCTATCTCAAAAAAAAAAGTAGGGGCCCTCTTTTTAGTATGTATTGGGAACATGTTACTTGTCCAGGCAAATATGGCAACTAAAGTCAAGGGGAAAGGAGGGGGAAAGGTGTTTGCACGCTACTGTATAGCAGGCCCCTGTTGCACTGGGGACCAAGGGTAATTTTGTAAGATCATACCAGGATGCCTGGGCCCCGAGCAAAATGTCAGGATGACTCTGTTTCTTTAGTCCCTTCTTACTGTAGCCATTGTACCCTCCCAGTTTACTTTGCCCTTTTCCTTCTAGACCCTCATCTGACCTTGCTCTGTCCGAAGCCCCTAACTGGCCTAAATGAGGGCATCATTTTTAAGTCTTCCTTCTGTTAGAATCCCAGTGGCTTAGTATTAATTATAGCCATCAACTGGATATTTGTATCAATTCTGTTACTGCTGTGATCATTCACTGAATTCTTTGTTGTTGTTCTTGTTGGGGGGGGTGGCAGGGGGGAGTCTCACTCTTGTTGCCCAGGCTGGAGTGCAGTGGTGCAATCTCTGCTCACTGCAAGCTCCACCTCCTGGGTTCAAGCGATTCTCCTGCCTCAGCCTCCCGAGTAGCTGAGATTATAGGTGCCCACCACCACTAATTTTTGTATTTTTAGTAGAGACAGGGTTTCGCCACGTTGGCCAGGCTGGTCTCGAACTCCTGACCTTAAGTGATCTGCCCGTTTTGGCCTCCCAAAGTGCTGGGATTACAGGCGTGAGCCACCGTGCCCAGCCCATTCTCTGGATTTTTATTCCATACCAGGCACTAGGCTGGGTCCTTTAGGTTTCCTCTCTGAATTACATTGACAGCCCTGTGGGGGCAGGTGGAGGCATCCATGTTTCACAGAAAAAGAAACCTCTGAAACATCAGCTAAAGGGACTTGCCCAAAGTTGAGAGCTGACCAGGGAGAGCTGGTGTTGGAGCCCAGGATTCCCAGGCTTCCAGACCCATTGGTCCTGTAGAATGCTTCCTTCCCAGTCGTTGCAGGGAGACAAGGGATTCATTCCTTGCCTCTGAACTCTTCTAGTCTGGGGCTTCCGGAAACCTCTGGGTCTTGTTTGGATCATCTGTGACATATTCCCAAAGCAGGGCTGTTAGTTTCTTGGAACCTCACACTCTGTCAGAGCATTCAAGTACAGTTTGAGGACAGGAAATTTGAGGGTGGACTATCTGCAAGGTGTTCCAGGAGAAGGACACAAGTCACATCCTGCAAGGTCACACCGCAGGCCATTCTTCACGACCATCCTTGCCTAAATAAGTCCTCTCATAGAGAAGAGCAGGAAAGCAGGTGTTGGAGGCAGGTTCTCGTCATCGGGAGCATGACGTACAGATTTGGTGTGAGTGCAGTCCTGCTAACCTCCTGCAGAACCTTGGGCAGCTTTCCCCAAGTACCCATTTTATAGGAGTGGAAAGCAGTGTAGGAAGTAAGTACGAAAAGCACTTTTGAAATGCTGTTAAAGGGATGGAAACAGAACTAACCACGTCAGGGCAGTCCCTGCGGTGACTCTGGCCTGGCCTCCCCGTTCTTGCCTGACTCAAGACACTAACTTAGTTCCTGGTTCGGTGCCCTGTGGTGCTCCTGTGTCCAGTAGCTTAGCTCCCACAGTGGGGGAGGAATCAAAGGGGCTCTGCAGCCCTCACCAGCTGCCCTCAAATCCCATCCAGGCCAGTTCCAGATTCTAAACTGAATTTTCTTCATGATATTGTCAACACAGGAAACAAAAAAACCCTAAAGCAAAAAAAAAAAAAAAAATTATTGTTAAGTTTAGAGAACACTTTTAGAATAAAAGCTAAACTCTGTGCTAGCCTCCAAGGCCCTTAAATGACCTGTCCCATCTTCCTTCCCATAGTCCAGCCATGGTACTTTATGTAACAAGCATTTAATACATAGTACCAGACACTCAGCGTTTGACATAGGGTTACTCTATGTTATTCTCCATAACAACCACTTGAGGTGGATCCTGTTTTTATCCCTGTTTTACAGATGAGAAAACTTAAGCAGTTTAAGTTAGCTAGTAAGTGACAGCCAGGATTTGAATCTGGCACTGTGGCCTCCCTATTCCTTCCAGCTCTCCAAGTTCATTCTGACCTCAGAGTCTCTGCCAATGCCGAGGATTCCTCTCCCAGATATCCTGACCCTTTATTGTTTCTCAGCTCCTAAAACAATGTCTGGCACCTAGTACATGCTCAGTGCACATTTGCCAATTGTTTCCGTGATTTGAGGGCCGCCATTGACCTTTGACTAGGTTGGACTTGTGAAGGATTCAGTGCCGTCAAGCCGACAGGCAGAGCTGCAAAGTGTGGGAAAGGGCGAACACGGCCAAGCAGTCAGATCCTGTGGAGCCTGAGTAGTGATGTGAAAGGAGCAGTGAGTGGGGCTCAGGTGTGGGCACAGGGAGGGTGGGGCGGAGGCAGCATTACAGGTCACAGCCAACGCACAGTTTGTTCGTTCGTTCGTTCGTTCGTTCGTTTTTTTTTTTTGAGACAGAGTCTCACTTTGTCGCCCAGGCTGCAGTGCAGTGGTGTGATCACGGCTGCCTGCATCTTCAACCACACAAGCTCAAGCAGTCTTCCCACCTCAGTCTCCCAATAGCTGCGACTAACATAAAAAATTAGCCAGGTAAACACCACCACACCTGGTTAATTTTTTATGTTTTGTGGAGACTGGGTCTCCCTATGTTACCCAAATTAGTCTCAAGCTCCTGGACTCAAGTGACCCTCCCACGTCGGCCTTCCAAAGCACTGGGATTACAGGCATGAGCCACCACACCTGGCCAAAGCAGTTTCCAAGTGAAATGAGAAGTGCTTAGATCTAGTCATTCCTCACAGCTATTTGACTGTAGTTTAATAGACCACTTCAGATGTTAAAAAGCATATTAAAATGAAAATGAGGGCATCTAATTTGGGGTCTATAGTAGAGAGTAAATTGTTTTTTTTTTTTTTTT